AGAAGATGTGTATCTATGTGAACTTATGAAATCCTAGCAGTGTAACTTCCTCATGTTGAGTGCGTCTGTGTAATAATACTGCATGACAACTGTTGCTAAGCCAACGCAGTGAGAGAGAGACAAGAAAACACTCAATCTGTCAAAGAAAGAAGCCTATTGAGTCTCTATGATAAATAATTATTTTAAAAACACAAAATAATAGACAGAAAATTGTACATAATTAGTTGATTTATTTCAAGAATGGCTTTTATCTGTTGTTACAAATGAACTCTTCACACACACACACATACACATCATATCAATGCAAAGTAAGACAAAAAGGAAAACACTGTAAGATTGTACACAGTAAAGTTTTAATTCTTCTTTAATTTTCATGAAATCAAACCCAGTTTTTGATTCTGTTCTTAGTCAGTTTTATTTTTTCTGCAACATCCAATCAATGTGTTTATATTCAGTCATTATCTCTCTGTGCAGTACTTTTCACTGTTCGGGGCCGAGTCCTCCACTGATGTTTTTACTGTTGATTTTTAAAACATGTTTGACAGCAGCATCAAATAATTGATGGTGATTTATTTCTGACATATCTATTATTCCTTGAACATTCATGCAGAGAGAGTGTGTCCATAAAAAGCTCTGTCTTATCTCACTCTGTTTTCTTCACTACTCTTTTAGGATGGTGCAGTCATTAGTTTAGAGTATTAACTACAGTTACTCTAAAGAAAGACAAGAAATCTGTGTTCTAAAAAAGAAATTATGTCAAAGTTTAAATGAGGAAGATAAATTAAAGTGTCCCTTATTGCTCAACTCTTGGACACTGCCGCCATCTAGTGTTTGTAAAGTGTTAATACATCCAGAGTGCACTCATGAATCATTAACCCATTTGTGCCCACATCTAAAACTTTGAATTTCCTTTGGTGGAAGTGTTCTCTGGGCTCGCCTGAGCAGAAAATCTGAAGAAATATTCAACACGTGTCGAACCGTTTGGCTGGAAAGAGTTTTTCTTATCAGATTATATTTAGTCTCACTGTAAAACATAATGAGTTAGTTCAACTCAAACTGTTAGAGGAAACCGACTGCCTTTAATCATTTAAGTCTATTTACTCAAACAATTTAAGCATTAACAATATTTGATTTGACTCAAGTATTTATTGTGAAGATAACTTGGGTAAATGAAGTTAATTGTACCAATTCCATTAAAACTAGTAAGTATATTACACTCATATGCAGCAACTCTCCAAACAGCTGATGTACAATACAAAATCTACAATGAATTGATTCTCCAAATGGTCAAATCACAAAATGTAAAAATACTAAGCTATACTACATTTTTGTCAACTTAAAGAAAATAAGTCAGTGGAACAAACTGGAATGTTTGGAATGTCACCTATACTTGAAATACTGCACAAAAAGTTCCCTCAAAGCAGTTGAGTTATTCAACAATTGAGTTTTGAGTTGGGTTGAATTCAAGTTATGTTAACATCCTTCTTTTATTAAGATATGCTGTTAGGTTGCACAGTGCTTGACGCACATGGAACTACTGTTGGTAGAAAATGCTGTAGAATAAGCAGAATTTGTCCCGACTAATAATGGCTGTGTGGTAATAATGAGCTAGTGAGTCATAAGCGAGGCTTTTAAGTTTTCTTCTCTGGTGAATGCAAAGCGCTCGAATACAAAGAAACCAAATATTTTCCCAACTAACAGAAAAAACACAAGAAATTCCAGTGAAGCACTTAAAATCAGCTCATTCAGTTTCATACTTTATTCACCTGCTTTTATTTTCTTCAACCAATAAAAATGAGCACAATTCATATGAAATAAGCAAAAGTTTATTAAACTGCTTTAATGTTTTTTTTGTTTTAACATAGTAGACGATAGTGATACATTCATTACAGCATAGGTCTCAAACTGCCGGCCCGGGGCTATACTATAATATAATCTGACCGATAAGATCATCAGTTTAAAAAATATATTTTTTCTGGTTATTTCATATCAATTTAAACTACCCCTTCATATACAATTACAATAAAAACACAATTCTATTTAAAAAATATATTTTGTTAGTGCAAAATAAACTGCTGTTTCCATTGTTTGTAGTAATGGAAACATTTTCTGAATATTACACTTTCTTACTTGAACATTGACCCGGAGATAACAATACCAACAGTGGCCCCAAGACAATGTGAGTTTGAGACCCCTGCATTACAGTCATCTATGAAATAAAAAAATAATTTCCCTCTAGGATTATTAAAGTATTTCTGATTCTGATTCTGAATACCCTGAATCCGTAACCAACTAACGACTAACGACTATATTTTAAGGAAAAGCTCCACAGAATGTTTGATTTCACATATTAATTTTGCCCAATAGATAGACAAAGGTCATTTTATTTTGAAAAATCACAAGAATAACTTTCATTTGTTAAATAACAGATT